GCTTCCATGGTAGTGACAACGCGCGATGGGCTGTAAGAGTGGGAAGTTATTGTAATTGCCACTTGGTGATGTGTTGAGGGTAGTTGATTTGCAGTATGTGTTCCGAGAAGTAACTCACAAAAAGGTGTCGCTATGTAGAATTCCAAGGTTTTCTCTTTTTTTTTTTTTTATTAATAACGAGAATTTCTGATTACAATTGCCACAATACAGTATAGAAATAAACCTACTAACAATCTAGGATCTTTAACTCTTACTACCAAATAAAAGTTTGTTCAAAAGTTGAATTCAAACTTACAATATGAATTCTAATACAAATAAGAATTCTAATCCAAGTAAGAGTCCTAATCCAAGTGGGAATCCTAATTCAAATGGGACTTGTAATAGAATTCTAAAACTCACATAAATCAAGAATTGAAAATAAGCTGATAAAGAAACTGGGCAAACTTACTGAACCTTTGCTTAGGTTACCCCCTTGGGACTTAGCACACCCTACGCCCGTTTACCAAACCAATGGTGCATTATGATCCTTTGGTCCTACTGAATCCTCTGAACTGGGAAGCACTTCAGGCAATACCCTCTAATTGAACGGGGGCTGTGAGCATGGGTTAATAGAACTAGGGTCCCTTTAAACCTTCAAGGCATGTCATTATGTGTCACCACACTCAACCAAGTCAGGCTTGGGCATGCCCCCTCTCTATGCCTAGTTCAGGCAATACCCTCTAATTGAACGGGGGCTGAGAGCATGGGCTATTAGAACTAGGGTCCCTTTAAACCTTCAAGGCATGCCATTATGTGGCGCCACACTCAACGACGTCAGGCTTGGGCATGCCCCCTTTCTATGCCCTAGGTGGTGTGCCCCACCAGTAGAGAGGAACCTAGCGACAGAGAGAGAGAGAGAGAGGAGGGAGGAGAGAGAGAGAGAGAGGAGGAGAGAGAGAGAGAGAGAGAGAGAGAGTACGACGTAGAGGTAGGTAGGTAAGGAAGGGAGGGGACGTACCTTAACCCTTAAGTACGTCGTCGTACGGA